AAGCAAGAGTTCTAAAATTCATATTAAAAAATGGTTTAGAGGTGTGATAATCATCATAATATTGCTACCATAACAACAATTATATATAACAAGTACAGAGATAAGAAAATGTGTTATTAGTATTATTCAGACTCTCATTATTTAGCAATGTAGTGCAGCATTCAGCTGGAAAGTCTTCGCCTCAAATCAAGGCTCTTTCAGCTTTGAGTTTGCATTGTCTCCCTGTGCATGGGTGGGCTCTCTCCAGGTACTCTGGCCTTCTCCTAAAGTTCATGTTAGGTTAATTGGTCTCTCACTAAACTGCTGGTAGGAGGGAGTGTGAGTGTGCGTGTGTGTGCTGGACTGGAAGCAGCTGCAGGGTCTTCCTATTTTTCACCTAATGACCGCCAGAGATATGCAGAGCAGAAACCAACTAGGTATTATTGATAGTGGTAGCAGTAGTACTAAATAAGTGCATGCGATTTGCGTTAACAAGTTGACTGTGTCAGGGTTAAGTGGGGTTTTTTGAGGACCCAAATGCAGAGGTGAGAGGGGAGAGGTGAGTCTTGTAGATTTAATAAATACCCAGAGGCAAACAGGTAGTGACGTTATGAGATGAGCCGAGGCTTCGAGGCGTGTGTCGAGTAATGGAGGGGGCGTTTCCCCGAAGCGCATATCGAGGTGTGATTCATTTAGAGGAGGGGCCGAAATTGATGACGTCCGAGGCCTCGCTACTGCGATACCACGTGTCCGCTTCAGGAAGCGGTTCGGGAAGGGCAAGAATTTTGAATTTAAACAGCCTCAGCGTTCAGTCATGATGTTGGAGATTGGAGGAGTGCTGCTGTCAGTATGATAGAGTTCGAATAGATTCTAAGAATAGATTGGTTGGAAAAACAACCAATCTAGATGTTTAAAACTATTTTGATGAGAATAAACAATGTAATGATCTAAATCTGAGCAAGCCACCGGACACAGTTAGTGTTAGCACGTCAGCATTAAGGAGTATTTTCTCCGTTCTATGGTTATCCATATTAGTGATGTCATCTGTAAGACACAGGCTCTCACGCTTGAGGTTAATGGTTCAAAACTTAACTTTGACTTTTGAAAGTTGGGATTAAACTTAATTATTTTGGCTAATGAGACTAATTTGCATTGGTTTGCCCTAGTAAAAATATAGATTGGGTAAAAACGCTGCCAAATTAGGTCGGTTTAGCCAAAAGATTGGTTGAACACAACTTCCGACTGAATAAAACCAAAAAATGTGGAAAAACTATCATGTTTGAATAAAAATGACAAACACCTTTCATTTTGCTCATCATTGCCCAATTTGCACAAACACTTTCACTGTCTGTCGAACTTATTTCACTAAAATGGCAGAAAAACTGTGCACCTTAAATGATTGTTCTAAGAAATTTTACACTTAAAAAAATTACAAAAGATTTTATAAGACACACTAACAATTAACAATTTCAATGGCACTTAAAAGGGGAAAAAAAGAAAAAAACGTTTGCAAAAAATCACAGATTTTATTACTAACTGTAGTTCTGCTTTACACCATTAGGTGATGACATGTTCACATGAAGCCTAATGAACTGTGGGGATCGTTGAAGCAATTTGGCCAAACGGTTCAATGCCTCATGAAGCCTCATCTCACCATCACTACAAACAAGGACAAAAATCCAAAAACATAAAATAATGATAACAGAGCAACAAAACAACAACAAGGAACCAGCAAACAGTGACTGAACATGAGGTGTATAAATAGGAGACTGAACAAAGACCAGGCTAATCAGCAGATTGGGAGCAGGTGTGGACAGAGGAGTCTAGAAGGGAGCTAAGGAAAAAGAGACTGAAACAAGAGAGCAACATAGGCCAAACAATAACTAAGAACTCAAATACAATCAAAAAATACCTAGAATAACACCAATAAACTAGAAAACACAGAATGACATGAATCAAAGTATAACTGAAAACTCAAAAAAGAAAACTAAACAGAACCAAAAAGTGCAGTGGAATGACAGGCTGCTGTTGGAAAATATTTTAGACTCATTTGTTTCTTTTAATGAAACAAATATAAATATTGTTTTGGTTGTGTGGATGTGCATTATGCGCAATAAGACAAAAAAGCACTTATCCCCAGTGCACCAATCCAAAGATGCTTCAGAGATCCAGAGAAGCAACATCATCGTATTACATGCCTATCCTATCCTTTTATTATTCTAAATATATGTTTAGGCTGCATTCTTTACTGAGTGGAGCCCAGCAGTCCCTGAGACTGTCACCACATTACTGGTTCTGCTGGGACACATCACTGGCCACCTTCTGCAGCTGTATGGAGGGGGGGTGGCCAATCCAAGAGCTGCTGTAGTAAAAAAGGGAGAGGGCCCCAGAGTGTGTGTGTGTTGGGACTCCATGTGGTATGAGGGCAGGCCTCTTGTGTCAGATGTCTCCTGATGACTGACAGCAACAGGCCTAAATCCTGCCGTCTCCTCAGGTACTCAGTCCAGTTCGTTTAGAGAGCAGCAGGAAAACAACATATCTGGTGGGGTTTTTTTATGGTCTCACACGCAGGATGTTCTTTATAATTTAATTCGCGTCTGTCAGAGATGTTCTCGTTTTTATAGTGACGGTTTTACGGCTTCCCTTCCCTCTCCCTCACTATAAAGTTTGTAGTCCAGCTGCTGCTTTGAGACTGTAACACAGAACTCTGTGTATCATTGGCTCTGCTGGAAGAACTGTCATATATTTACGGTTTGTAACTTATCATGTGCTAACCACATCTCCGCCTTGTGTGCATCTCCTTTGGCATCTGCAGCCGCTTCCAAAAAAGCAGCAGACTGTGCTAAAGCAGAAGCATCCGCCGTCTCACCGGCTTTTCTGACATATGTTCATCTGTAAACATGGAAAATTGCCGGCGTAATCTGATTTAGAGTTGTTTACTTTTGATTTAGTCGCGCCGTGAAAGCCCGGCTGCCAGGCTGTGAATGAGGCATTGTCTGCAGACACAGAGATCTGGGCCTCTAAAGTGCTGCCAGCTCCCGCTCCTGCCACGTCCCACACATGCAGGTACTGCGACGATCAGACGTCTCTTCAGCTCCTATCATGCTGAGGAAGAGGATAGACACTGTGGCTGTTTGGTGGGGGGGAAAAAAACGCCTCAACAGTTTCAGCTTTGACTCATGCTCACTCACTGCCTCTCAGAATGGTTAGTCGCTGCTGTTGTTGAATGAAATCACAGAAACTGCTTAATGAGCTCATGAAAAACTCATTCTCACAAAACAAAACAGTTTGACAGTGGCTCCATGGAATGGTTGGACCAGGGCTTCCCAGACTGCTCAGTGCTTCAGAATAAAGCCGCCTGATGTGAAGCAGCAGGTCAGCAGCCATCGCAGAGCTGGACTCTGTTCTTTCACCCGGGAAGCTGATGGATGGTGTTTGTTTAGTTACGCTGCAGTTAAACTCAGGACAGGGGCCAACAGACCCCCCTCTCTCCCTCCCAATGTTGACTTTGGGAAGATTTTTATTTATTTATTTTTTTTTAGTTTGGACTTTTCCTGTCCTTGAATGTTTAGGAAAAAGAGCACAAGCAAGACTTTCTTCACCCTGACAGGAAACCAGTTAGTTAAGCTGGTTAATGGTGAGGAATCAGCTTTTTTGCCTATGACCATAACAAGCTTTTATAACAAACAGAACATTGGAGAACCAACCCTCACCTCTTGCACAGTCAGTCAGCAACACAGCTTCAAAGATGAGCAGCATTATCTTTAGGATGTCCATACTGTCCAAACACAGATTCATAGTCCCTAAAACAAAAAGAAAAACATGGAATGGAATATTTTAATAACTTAACAGGAAAAATAATAGAAAAAAATCTAAATGAGTATACGCTATTTATTATAAATAAATAACAATAATAACTAAATCAGCATGCATATAACACGTTCATGCCAGAAACACATTTTAATTTCATTACAAGTAAAAAAATAAATACCCTCATTATTATAACATTAAAATGTAAAGCAACTGTAGGAATATTTTTGGTGTAAACTCAAAGCGTTTCCATGTATTTAAGTTGTGTAAAAAAAATGGCATACCTTATATTAGAGCTTCAGCCTTGCGGCAGCCTCCTGACAGAAACTTTCTCCTGAACTTCGGCTTGAGACCATGAATAAAGCTGACAGCGGTCCACTGTCTCCTAACAGCCCAACAAGGTTGTCTCCAGCAGGCTGATATTCGGACTGTCCGGCCGTGGAAAAAACAGCGATAAAACACTTGTAAACGCAGCGGGGTAGCCAAGGGTGAAACCAGCGCTGGTCTGGTCCGTAGGACGGTCCTCAGTCCTCCTGGACTGACTGACTTGGAGCCAGAGACCCGAGCGTCGTTGACCCGCCCACAATTTTAGGCATGGGCCAATCACAGACCGAGACCGCCCCACGGTTTCAGCGGCAGGCCAATGACACCCAGATGACCGGGCAAATATACGCAAACGTCGTCGCCATATTGAGAGAGGCATTTTCATTGAAAAACACACAAATAGCAGAATAAATATTGTTATTATTACATGCCGATTAACCAGCCTTCTCTCTAGTCATCCTAAATCTTATTTTAAAAATACCTATTTTTTCCAGGTTTTTTAAAATTCAATTTTAAGTGTGTTTGCAGATTTTGTTGTATTATTGTAGTTTTCAATGTGCTTTGGAAATAATAGATGCTTGGATTTATTTGATAATTCTACATTAGGTAAAGCCTGTTTTACTTTGGTAAAATCAGTTATAGTTCTAGATCAAATGTAACAAGGGGGGCAGGGTGGGGACTGTGTTTTTTTCATTGGTGAAAAGAAAAAAAAACAGTTTAATAGTTCATTGATATATTAAATGAGATGCAGAACTAAAAAGCTGATGTCGACGCCAGATACAGCAGATAAAAAATAGGAGTGCACCAATTTATCAGCCCAAATTTCCTTAATTTTGGGAGATCGGTGATCGACTAATACTTGAAACCCAATTATACCCATCTAAATCTGTGAAGGTCTGAAAATCAGCCACTTTCAATCAGAGGTATAGCCAGAACATTTTTATAAGGGTCGTCAGGCAATAACCCCTATAAATTGAAGGGTGGCCTAAAGCGGATCTGCACCAGAATCTTAGAATCAATCTATACTGATCCAAAAGGATAATGAACAACCACAACATCCATATTTTCCAAATAAAGACAAACTCTAATTTCCCACAGCCTTTGCTAACAAATAGACGAATATATTTAAACATCCATCTAGATAAAAGGGGTGCCCCCCCCCCCAGCTCCGCCCCTGCTGTCAATGCTTTAAACTTTTAATCTGTGTCTGAGAATGTTATGTTATGCAGTTATAACAATATTTTCCTATTTTAAAGGTACTGCCCTCTTTTCAATAAGATAAGACAGAAACATTAAAGTTGCATTGTGATCAACAACTATCAAGAAAATATCAGTATTGCTCAAAACTGGAATCGGCATATTAGGCCTTTTAAAGATTGGTAATCATGATCCTATATCAACAGCACCTTTATTTTGAAATCATTGTTAAAATTAATTTCAAAGGGAGAAAAATAAAAGAGATCCAACAAACCAATCAGACATGGTTTCTTCTACATATAACCATAAGAAATGTATTTAATGTTTTGACTTTAATAAAGAGGCCTGGACCAGTTCTAAAGGGGCACTGGCCCCTGCAGGCCCCTGTCTCATGAACCGCCCAAGACTAAAACATCTACTCTAATCACCAAATAAGGCTCATAGAACAAAACAGCAAAAACTTAATGCAATTTAATTTTTATTTTACAGCCAAAGCAAAACTGATTTTCTTGACATACTTCTATAACTTAACTAAAGCCAGTTGAAATAATTTTAATTACATGGTGCTATATGCAAATTCTTTAGTCCTTTGATTTGCATATATTGCCAGATTTTATCTTTAGCACCAATGCTAGCTCTAAAATTGACGTTAACTTAAGGAGTTTTAGAAAATCCAATTTCTAGACAGTCCTGTATCAGTGATAACTTGCCTCCAACAATATGGCGGCATGACAAACGTATCATTTCTCAGCCTGATGTACGAGATTCATAAAGTATAATCTACACTGTTGTGCGGGGAACAGTTTATGAAAAATAAGGGAAGAAAACGTTGGGAGGGGAAAAAAAGGCATATTTGAAACCTCTGCAGTAACCTAAAAATATCCCAGACTTAGCTTGCACTGCCCCCTGCTGGCAGATAATCATCTTGCAAGCAGTTAATAATCTATCAATATTCATTATCTTACAAATGTATATTTTTTAGAATAACTAAGTTTCCAAAACGTTTAAGAAGCATATAAAAATAAATTGAACAATAAGAAAATAATTAGTGGGGCATATATAGAAATATTGAAGCAACATTTCAAGGTATGGACTGTTTCTGTGGTAAGGGCTTTTCTCTGAGCAGTCTTTCAGCTCACATAAATTACAAATCAAATAGAGTGACAAAAATATATATTTATTCTGCTTTTATTAAACTACAATACATTTTTTTAAACATATAGTTTTAAGTCTACATAACTACCTCTGTGCTTAAATGTGCTTTTCGGGTTCTTAAAAGAAGCCCAAAATTAAATATGTTTAAACATGTTAGAAGACCAGCTTACAAAGACAAATATCTTATCATTTTGCCAGATTTTCTAAGAAAATGGCACTAAGAAAAGCTAAAAATCCTGTCAAACACAACTAGACCATTTCTAGCTTTTGAAGTGTTTTGTTGAAGCTGCATAGATTTGACATGTTTTGTGTACCTTTGTGTCTGGATTTAAATATCCCTTTATTGCTGATGGACTGTGAATTTTCCTAGTTAGGGACAGATAAAAGTTAACCCAATTCTAACAATCCTAAAGGTACAGATTAAGAAATTAATAAAAAATGTTGTTGCTATAAAAATTGGGATCTCTAGGAAATTATCATCTTACTTATAATAAAAGTTAAAGAAAACCAGAGACAAGGAGGTAAAACAAGAATGGTTGTTTGTAAAATTAGCCCCAGGATATAAATAGAGCCTTTAAAACAAAATGGGCTTTAAAACAAAAAAAGCCTAATATTTTATCTTTTTTTTTTTGTCCCAGTGTTTGTTTCCACCCCCCTTCAAGCAATTTTTTATTCATGGAGGTAGAAATGGATAATTGCTGAAAAATCTTCCATTTTTAAATGAGAATTTCTTTCAGAATATTAAAAACGTTTCCTTCTCAGGATAGAAGAAACTAAGTAAACTAAATGAAGACAAACCTGTGCTTCAGAAACATTAGTATCAGTAGCATCAAATGAGAAGGAACCCATACAGCATGTTCAAACAGAAAAGATATTTATTTCAATATACATCCCATTTAAAACTATATAACATTATTCATCTGTATATTTTACACTTAAGGAAATTAATGTAAGTTTTACAAAAAAAAGGAAAAGCTCTGAAAACAATAATCACAGAATATCCCATCTATCTCAACTGCATGAATCATTTTCTTTACATTAAAGTAAATACATTTCCTTGTTAATCTGCATTCTTTATAAAAGAAAAAAAAATATTGTTTTTTTTAGATGCAATGAGGATTGCTAGGTAATTCAGAACATTTAAAGCCTGAGAAGGTGATTTCAGTCAGAGCAGAAAGGAACTAAAAACTGCTCTTACATCTCATCTGCCTGGAAGATGCTGGAGAGACAGTAGAGAGGTGGATACAGTCAGTCTGAAACATACACAGTTGTGTTCAAAATAGATGCAGTTCTATAAAAAACACCTTTAAATAATTTTATTTTATTGCTTTACAGGCAAATTAATTAGGATTATATAAATAAATCCAATCTGTTTTCAGTCCACATAAACTAAACATGAACTATCTTAACTGAAAGATTATGGCTTTCTTGTGAATTTCTAACTTAATATTTAGCTGTATAAGCAGGGTTTCTGCAGGTAGTGAACAGGTGTGAGGTGCTGCTCTAACCAGGTGAGTCGCCCCATCATCCTTATGTTTCAGGGCTGAGTCAAATGTGGTTAAAGAGAGACAGCCAATCATTTTCTCTTCTTCTCTCCCTAAAATCAGATCATTTTGAACAACTTCACTGAATCAGCACCATTTGTGCTCTGACTGCTTTCTTTCACTCAGCTGGTAATTTCTACCAGAAACGTTGACTGAACTCCTCGGTGATGTGAAGCTGCTGTTATTTTGAACACAACTGTTTCAGAATATTTTCAGCGGGAACGAACCAATTCGAACAAAAATATCGGAGGTCTGTCTCGTCGGTGTGCAGAAGCATTACAGTCAAAGATATTGCACAGAAACGTTACTGAGGAAGCTTAGAGAGGAGGGCAGCATCTGCCCTGTGTTCCTGCGTTTAGACGCACCTGAGAGTGCTTCATCAGGGCACTGACAAGAGTCTGAGCTCCTAAAGGTCAAAGGCTGACAGCAGTGAAGGAAAAGATATCAACTGCACATGAGCCACGCAGCAAACTCATCCAGACCTCTTCTGCTAAACACAAACATTAATCACCTTCCAAAAAAACTAAACAACAAAGCTCTTATCAAAATATTACTTGTCAGTTTTAGCCTGCTGAGGTTGTTTAGTGGCTCCGAAGCTTACAGACAGAATCGTTATTATTTACACGGTGGTTTGACTTACATTCTTCTGACTGATCTGAGTTCTGTAGGAGCGCCGGGAAAGATGTGGGAAGCTCGCTGAAGCAAACAGAAAGCTTCCCTATTTGCACCTGCAGAAAGGAAAAAGTGTTCTGATTCTGTAAACTCTTGCCGAGCGTTGCTGCTGGCTCTGAAAGGCTCGGCTCTCAGACAGGTGCCTGCAGATAAACATGCTGCCATTTCAGTGCTCCGATCGAATTTGGAGCTTCTCGCCTGGCCCCTTTTTAACCACTTTATCCTGCAGCTGTGCTCAGCGAGTACATTCATGACCTTTTTACTGAAGAAGCACTGTGGAAGTGAATCTGTCCCTTGCATATGTTCTTGGAGCAGACTGTGTGCTTTCAGTACTGATCCGAGATCAGATGGCGGGTTTGTCGCTGTAGAAGGGCGTGACATGAAACATGTAGCAGTGTGTGCAGACTCGCACAGGCTTCACCTGGCCGTACCGAGGTAATGGAGCCGAATGAGATGAGCAGCGGGAGCAGAAGATCTGAGAGGAGAGGAGGAATTAGAAACAGGAACAAACTGAGGTCCACATTAGCTGTGGGAGCGTTGGTAATGGGGAACTCTAACCTTTCCACAGCTCCTACAGTGGTGCTTCCTGCGAATGACGGTGAAGGGAGCCTTGCAGGCGATGCAGGAGCTGCAGGCGTCGTCCGGGACCCAGTCTGGAGGGTCTGCAGTGAGAAATAGGAGGAAAACATGCAGGGGGAACTGTCACAAGCTGAACATCTCCAGAGAAAGAAGAGAAGGAGGAACAAGCTGACAGCTACGCTCGGTGTGGGAGAGTTTGTGGATATGCTGACCTTCAAACTGTCCCTCCCGGGCTTTGGCTGCCAGTTCTGATGATGAAATCGTCTCCTGACAGAGAGCACAATCCTCCAGCACTGCACTGCGCAGGACAGGACCTACTGGGCATCAGAGAGGAAAACTTAAAGCATTGCACACTGTTAGTTGTTTATTTTATAGAAAAAAGGAAATAAAAATAATAAAACTCCTGATTGCATCTTTTGGTAGCAGACTGAGAAAAGCTTTTCAACTAAACAGAAATTCTGACTTTATATGTAAATAATTTGAAACATTATATCTGTAGGGTTGACAGGGCAGTGTCGGGTTTTTTGAACAAGACAGGTCAAGATTCTTGCTCATAGGCTTTGTCCAAACCCTACTGATAATATTTATAAAAGGACCACGGCAAAAAAAAAAACGTGAATAAAAACTTCAAGTCATCGGTAGTATAATGATCCCACAGTAGCATCTGCCACCTGCCCATAGTTAGTGTGACACTGACTGACACCCTGTGCGTATCTCCCAGAGTGTAGAGTAGTGCGAGAGGACCAGTGAAAAGCAGCTGCATAAAAAAAGGAAAGAGTAATGTTCCACAATGTTAACAAAAAATATCTTACTGAAATTTCAGCTTTTTCATGCAGCTCATTTAACTCTAGAAGAATCCCCCATCATTCCACATTCAGAGCCAAATGTCAGCTATAGGCTCTCTGCTGATGACTGTGTTACCTGAGGTAACTTAAAAAAAATCATATTTGGTATTTAATATAACAACGTGATGAGAATCCTCAGATCTGTTACCAGAATCATTTTAAACAGCTGTGCAGCCAACAGAGCGATCAGCTGATAAGTGATTTCCAGTTACATATTCAAGCTCCGTAGAGTCAGCAGCATGTCACTCATGGTTGAGCCGTTGAGTGACTCCGATTTTGAAGTGAACCTAAGAGAACATTAACAGCTCTAGAATTGATCCCGAATCAGATCAACCGTGAGTTAGATCAGCTGCTAGAATATCCAATTTTCAACCTGAAACCAACTTCACCGTACAGAATGCACTGTCTTCTGTTCGTGTTGGAAAACAAGCACTGGGCCATTCGGTCTCATACACAACAGAAGCAGTGTTAATAAAAACTGCAATGTTTTATTCAGAAATTGACAGTCCATTGTAAAAATATATAAAAATTGCAAAGTAATATATTTACACTGGATTTTCAGTGTTATTGCCAAAGTAATAAAACTGAACAGATAGGTGGGTAGATAGATGAATATAATATCCAGATAAATATTCAACTGTGCAGCAGTTGTCCTATTTACTATTAAGCTACAACTACTGTTTGTAAGTCACATCAAATTGATGTGCAGCACCAAGCAGTCTGCTCTCTGCTTGGCTTCTGGGGGGGATCGGACACTTGAAAGGTTAAGATTTTTTTATTTTTTATTTTGCATTAAATTTTTATTTGATAGACAATCAGATTTACAGTCCCGGGGACTCGGAGCGTTAAATTAACTAGTACTGAATCCATTCTTTCTCTCTGAAATGGAAGGTTTATTGTGACTTATCAGTTTTGATAATATTAACTTTTTCAAGAAATGAAATTAAATGAGTTTTACATGATTTGAAGTGTGATGCTTTAAAGGAATAGTACACCCAAAACATGATTAGCCTTCATTTTTTACTCACCCCCATGCTGAACAACACTCTGGAGTACTTTTTTGATATCTCAAATGCATCTGGAGATCTGGGAGGCTTCTTGCTGTCTGCTGACATTCAAATAATGGAGGTCTATGGCGCCCGAGGCAGAAAGGTCCATAAAAATCCACAAAAAACGTGTCAATATTCCTGCATACTGCTCGTCCAATGTATTCCAAGTGTCCTGAGTGGGTAGCGTCCATAATTTACTCGAAACGAAGTCATTTAGAATGTTTTTAGAGCATAAACAGTAGTGTATAGGATTTCCTAAAAGCGCGTTCACGAGTCTACGGAAACCGCAGCAGACCAAACCAGACGAAAGTGCACATTCAGCTCGGCAAAGAACTCATGCTCTTCCTCAACACTGAAGTCCTCAGACATTTTTCTTTCGTTGTTTCTTTCTTTGCACAGGTAAACAGCACATTTCTTCTTCTACGCTTGCATTATTGGCAGAGCAGACGCTGAGATATCAAAAAAGTACTCCAGAGTGTTGTTCAGCATGGGGGTGAGTAGAAAATGAAGGCTAATCATGTTTTGGGTGTACTATTTCTTTAAGAATAACAAAGCAAAGATTGTTTTTGCGTGCATTTTAGAGCGAAAAAAACCCCAACTGCGAATAATGCACCTTGTCTCTTTGAGATCCAAGATCTTATTTATGAGAGATCTGTCTTGATTAACGCAAACAAAACTACAAAATATTATTCTCCTTTTATACATATATGATCTCACTTGGTGTGGTCTAAACTACAACACCATGTATTGTCCTGCTGCATAAACCAATTGCGCTTCAGCTTAAGGTGAAAAACTGATGGTTTGATTTGTTCTGAATTCATGTTTCAGTCATTTACAGGTAACATTTACATTCCAACACCCACCCAGTGTAAAAAGCTGGGGGCTTTTATAGTTGCTGTTTTACTAATTTATTTTTTTAACATCGGAGGAGGATTTAGACACTCGGGCTGCCTGTCACAACTCGTGTCCGGCGTGCTGATGACGTCATACACACTCCGCTTTGTTTTAAAAAAATATAAATCTAAAAAATATAACACTGGATGTCTGGAGGACAGTGATTCGCCTACATGTTATGAATGCTGGCGTACCATAAATGATAAACGATGAACAGTTTAGTTTGTGCCTTCAAGTTGTTGCCCATAGGAAGACATTACCTGGATACAACCTAACGGAATATCTTCAGAACGGCTCCAAATGACACAAAACTCATATGTGTGAGTAGAACATGATGTAATAACATAAAATCAAGGGCCCAATGTAAAAAAAAAACGGTGTTCCCCTTTAACATAATGCAATAAATCCATCCCTCACCCTTTTTTTGTTTATCGCCGTCGCCTTGCTCACACTTTGTTGCCATTACTTCAAAAAGAGTCTTAAGGATACCTCGGAGGTCACTGGCATAGTTGGTCTGCAGCTGATCAGCTACACCTGCATCACACAGAGACACTGCTATGAAGTATGTGAGGCAGAGAAAGGAGCAGCAATGCAGCCACAGCGAAGAGTGACAGCCTTCACCTGATATGCAAACAAAGAGGCGGTGGATGAGGTCACTACTGCTGTGAAACCGGGATCGGATCTTGTTCCTCGCTGCCACTCTGGCATCCTGCAGGGCCAGCCTGATCTCCTGCTGATCCAGGCCCTCCGATGTCCCAGAGCTAGGAGTCATACTGCTGACAGGGCTGAACAGATATTAAAACATCACTTTTTATCGTTCTTACTTCACTGAGATTAAAGTGCAAACCTTAGCAGGGTAAGAATATCAAATAAGAAACAATCCTACATGAATTTGATCAAGATATGATCCCTACTGCAGTCCAGAAAATACTAAACTGTGGCATCTGCAGCTTTAACCATAAACCAGTAAATATGAGAGAGTCTTTCGGTTGCATTAAAGTTGAGCAGTAAGACACATTATTTACCGAGTCAGGGTGCGTTTCATTACCTTGGAGAGTAAGCACTGCTCGACAGACTATATGTGGTGACCGACACACTGTCGCAGTCACTACCTGACACAGAGCTGAGGGGAGACTTCTGAAAACTAAAAGCAACCCAAAACAAAAACAGAAATGATGAAGGATACAACTGATTGTCGGTCAAATAAATGAGGGTGTGTAATGAATAAAAATAAATAAACAAATAAAAAATGTGAAACAGGAAACAAAATATGGAGCTGTATTAATGAGAAAAGCTTGATCACTAACAAACCTGGAGCACGTCCTGCTGTCCTCTTTAGGGTCCACCTTAAGATCCTTATCATCTAGTCTGCTGGTATCCACGTCCTTATCCCTCTGCCGGCCTCCACTGGCTTGCTGCCTCCTGTCAGTGCTTGGTTGGTGGGCACACATGGAGGGTCCTTGCCCTCCTCTGGAGCTGCAGTCCTGTGGAAGACGCCCCCGTCCTGGAGCCACCAGGCACTTCTCACACAGCAGCGATTCAGAATCCTCTGCTTGTGGCTCTGCAGAACGCAGGGAGGACGGGGAAGTCTGCTGAGCGATCTCACCCTTCCTGAACTGATGATGGCTGCGGGGCGGCCGCTGGCAGGCGGCGGACTGGATGACGGCGCTGGAAGCTGGGGTCTTGCAGTGTTTGTCCAGACCCAAAGCCAGGCCCAGTTCCAGTCCAGCGGTATCTGCTGTGACGCCGTCATCGTGAGAGTCGTCGCAGCTTCCACAGCAGACACATGAGTTCAGCAGACAGTGGGTGGCCACTAGGGGGCCGCAGGGCTCGATCTCAGAAGGAGCGGGCCGAGGCAGCAGCAGCTTGTCCACGGCTAGCTCTGTGAGGCTAGGGGAACGAGGGTTGAAGATGACGGTGGCAGACAGCTTCATCCCCCCCATTCGGTGGGCGATGACCTCTGCCGTTTCAGCCGCAGTGCCCTCTAACCCCCTGTCCCAGCCGTTAGTGTAAGGGAGAGGCTCAGAACCAGGGGCGCAGAGGGGAGTCTTAGCCATGGGGCAGGTACTATTCAGGCTGCGTGGCTGTGGACAGGGCTGCTCCGATGTGGCCTCACAACTCCACCCATTGATGCTAGTACCAGGTCCAGGTTTGTGCTGCAGGGGAGGCACTGATCTTTTAGGAGAAACCACGCACCTGCAGGCCTCTCTGGAGATTCCGTTGATGGCGTCTGCTGCATCGAGGTCCTCCATGAAAAAAACACGATCCTCCTCTTCCACATAGAGACCTGTCCTTCCTAACCTACGGGGAGAAGCTTCTGTGCTAGAAGCCGCACTGGAGCCTGCTGGGTCCCCTCTACTGGGGCCGTGGGCCGGGGACTGGCCCTGGCTGGGAGGGGACAGCAAGGTGGACATTTCGTCCCCCACTCTGTACACCATCATGTTGAGCTGCTCCAGTTCCTCCTCATCGTACTGCATGGAGCATGCCAGCTCTGCTTCCTCCGCCTCCTCACAGAGGAGGCCCTGCTCCTGCTCCTCCTCACCGCTTTGGGTTTCCACTTCCTCCCAACCTCTTTCCACCTCTGCCAACTCCTTCTCCTGATCAGAACAGGCGAACACTGGGAGCGGATCCTCCTCTACGCCATCCTGCCCCTCTGAGGTATCCTTAGCGATGCAGCAGGAAGAAGGGTTTTCTTGGACCGGAGCCTGGATGCCATTTGAAGCCAGGTCCTGGCCTGTCGACAACTCTCCGTCCTGAGAGATGCAGAGGTTCTTCTCCAGTGTCAGCAGCTCCTCTTCGGTCAGAGTTTGGAGGAGGTCTCTGCAGAGGTAATCACACCAAACTTAAAGCGCTGTGACAAAAAGACTTTGATCCTCAGAGTAGATCTCTTCATGTGTCTACCTGATTTTTTTCAGCAACGTGCGAAAAGGCCTGAAGAGCTCTGACATGTCCTCAGATTTACGGTCGAGGTTAAGAGGTCCCTCAGGATACACGACCAACCCGCTGAAAAAATGGCCAGAATGATATAAAGGTGGTACAGGGTGGAAGGTAAGCAGCGGGAATACGGCAACACATACCAAACGATGGCCAGTCTGGGAATCGTAAACATCAGAGCAGGTTCATAGTCATCGATCATGTCCTGTGTGAGGTAGCCCAGCCGGAGGGCCCTGAGGGGACGGAGAAGGAAAACAGGATCAGAACATAACCAGAGTCGCTGTAGGAGTTTAATCTTTCCCTGAAAACTCACCTTTCAACAGTTTCACAGAAGAGGACGATCACGTCCTGCTGAACGTCGTATTCTTTGGGACTTTTCACAGGCACCATGGCTGACACATAGCTGAAACAGCAGAAGACTTATTTTTAAGAAATTGCACATTTTGCTCTGTCATCCGTCACAAAAAGCATTGATTCGTATATATGATGGACAACAGAGTGGAGCTGTGCTTCATGCTGCAACGCAACGTAGTCGGTAGGAATGACCGGCTGACTAGAAAAGCTTCTATTTGTGACGGAGCGGAGGAAATATGGATGGAGGAGTCTGTGTGAATCCGGGACTGATGAATGTATGGAGTAACAGCTGACCTGTGTGGTCTGATTATACAGACGAGCTACGCTGGAAAAACGATCTAGAAATAAGTAAAAGTTTCTTAAATTAAGTGTATTTACCCTTAATTTGAGTAGGTAAATGCGATAGTTTGTCAACGAATGAGTATTTTTACTCTTAAAATAAGATAATTAGAGAATATGCACTTGAAATAATCCAATGCAATTGTGTTTTCTTATTTTAAGTGTAAATTGTCTTGTTCCATTGGCAAAATTCCTCTCTTTTTTAAGAAAAAATGACTAATCAAGATTTTGATTTTTTCTGACCCACAGATTCGTTCAGTACTGCTTAAGATTCCCAGGGCCACATAAGAAATCCTTACTCTGGCATAGAAGCAGAGAAAAAGACACCACTTCATAGAAGCAGCATTTCATAAACAGCAGGTTTATACTTATTCTGCTGCAAAGCAAAACTGCTTCAGGGATAGTCTGAGCTTTAAATTTAGCCTACAAGTTCTCTAGATCTCATTCCAATCAGGCATCTGTGGGACGTCCTGGACAAATAAATTCAGAACTTCTCCTCGGTTACTGAAACCTTCATTCCAGATAACCCAGCATATTGTCATGGGTGTGAATTTAGGATTAGTTTGCAGCAAACTGATGATGGTCATAATGTTATGCCTCATTTTAGGTGTTATCTAGCAGCAGCTCTAATTAATACCCGGTCTGTAGCTCACCTGAGCTCAAACTCAGCGAAAAGGCTGTCGAAATGTCGTAATGCATCCTTCATGCGGTCTGTGTACAGGTTGAGATCTCGTAGGGCCTGGTCTCTGGTGATGCTGCGCACCTCTTCCAGGCTGCGGGTCAGGTCTTTAGCCAGGGGTCTCATGGCGATGCTCTCTATTTCCCTGTTCATGATGATGGAGCCTGCAGCTAAACACTGAAAAAAACAAACCAGCTTATAGCTATGATGAATTTTATCTTGACCTGGACTTTTTGCAGGTTGTTTTCTTCCTAACTGAAGCAAGAGGGAATAATCTACCTCAGCTCCAAACCACAGCTGTCCCGCCAAGTTGTCATGACGAATCTCCTCCGGGAACTTGACGCAGAAGTCTCTGTTGGCCCGGTCGTGGGGGATACATTCATCCATGATCTGACTGATGATGTTCAACACATTGTCCTGCAGAGAAAAGCAATCTCAGGAAACTTCTTTCACCCGCTAATCTCCAGTCATGCATTCAAAACGATCAGTTAGTCTAGCTTAATTAGAAAAGGAATTAAAACAACCAATCAATGAGATCATTGAGTTTCAAACAGCTGCCTTCAATGAAAACAATTAACTAAAGCTAAAGGCAGAAATGTAGCAGTTTTCATCGCTGCGTGAAGGGATCAGACGCTTACTTGCTGCTGGCTTATTTCAAAGTCATAATGACGACTCCCATTACACATTTTACATCAGTGCATCTGGAAAAATGTCAGGCTGAGAGCTGTTTCTCTGTTTGGACCAAGGAGAACAAATAAAGGAAAGCTGTGGAAAAGAGAGCTGAACCACTGGTTTCTGACAGGAGCACCAGCCTGTCTGAAGGAAACTAGACACAGCAAACCCTTTTTTCCTTTGTTCAGCTTCCAAAGACGGTGAACCTGAATGGAAACCTTCCTATTTGATCAAATAGTGGCCCAATGTATTTGTCAGCCCACAAAATCTAAAAAATAAATAAATAAAAAAAGCTTCTCGCTAAAAGGAGTGGACTGAAAGTTAGACCTTTAAAACTAGGAATGCAGGATGATAGGAAAATGTGCGTAAGTCAAATTATTGTCGAAACACATCTGTAAAGATCATCCCACATTTTCTTCATTCCTCACTTTCTTTGCATCATGATCTCCATTACTGTTTAAGCTTCAGCATCACTACCTCTAAAATCTAGTTAATGCAGAGTAAGTAAATGGTAATGACAGAGGAAACTGTTTATTTGCAAGATGTGAATAAATGGTCAATGAAATTTAGAAGCCTTACACCTGTTTCACCCGAGCATATGTACAGTACACAGAAAAAGCCATTCAACTAAAGCGGAAACAATGATTTGGAATAATTATGATTAATCGATATTTGAAGTAACTGTAAACTTATTTAACAGTAATTAATGAATACATGGAGAGTGCTGACTCTAAAATATGCCAATTGGTAAAAGCAACCAACTAAGAACAGAACTTATGCGAAAACTACACAAAAAACAAAAATAAAATGTTGCCTTCAAGGATTGGTGTAAAAACAAACATTCTGTCTTCTCTCCAAAATGAAGTCAAATCTTACATATTAGCATCAGGAAAAGAAGTCAAAATGAAATATGTACTATATATGCTACATCTGTTATCCAAAAACTAGTATCTCTGTTTTTTTTATTCCTTATCATGTTAACCTATTTAGGCCATTATAACAAATATATTCCATGACTATGTGTAACTAATTGGAATAAACAATAAACATTATCTGCAATTGCCTTTTTTGAGTATGTGATAAAAATCATCTCCTCGGGAAAAGTTGCTATATTATTTTGACACTGTGATCTAAAACCTTGAATTAAGGTTACGCCTACCTAAACTTGAGGTTATTAGAGAACACATGTTTATGTTAATCATTGCAACATGAAGGCAGATTTATACATGTGTGATTTAATTAAGCTGCTCATTGACAAATCATCAGCTGAAACATTAAACCGGCTAAAGCCAAAGAAGGTGACAGCTCAGCAGAGTGTAGGAAACGTAACAGTCGGGGATCAGGTGTTGACCTTATTAAGTGTTTTTCCTCCTGCTTCCTGCTGGTGGGAGAGAGGGAAGCTCAGGCACAACAAGCCACATAGAGCATTTCATTCACAGCATCAATGTATCTGCACATCCTGCAGCATGGCTGCTGCAACTCCTACTCAGCATTGTCTGCAAAAAAGCAACCACCCTTCACCACACAAATTAAAAAAATTACCATCAGTCATATCTGATTCGACTGCTGGTGAATGAAGTCAAATCTTACTTCATTAGTGTGATGTTGGAATTTATGTTCGGCCTGACAGATAAACTTTGTCTAATCATAGAATAAAATCTGTGTCTATGCGGTCACCGGCTATAAAAAGCTGCTTCTTCTGTTCTAACAGCCCACATGACAGCGAGTCCAGAGCTGTCCAAGATAAGAGTCAACCGACACTCCCAGACGGATCCAACTCATCTCATCTGTAGAAGTGCTTCAAACAGGAATTCAGCCAATCGGTTTCCAGTAAATCAGTGATATCACCCAGCCTGCATCCTGGGATGAATAAAGGACACTGACTGTACTCATGAAACCAAAACCAAACTCCCAGCAGGCGAATATGTGAATGAAAAAGCTTGAATGGCTCAGAATGAAACAAACAGGAGGTTAATTTATCTCCATGCCAGCTTTGCTCTGAATAAAGCCTATTTTTATGCCTGGCACAGGAAGGCAGAGGAAGATGAGGACTGACCTGACAGGACCGGAACTGGTTGACCAGCAGCGTGCATCTCTGAGGGTCCTTCCTCCCATCCAGGCTGTCCAGCTCGGTGGCCACCTGGTTAAGCTCTTCATCAGCATAGTAGAACTGGGCCAGGAGCTGCGGGTCTGTCCTCTGTTCAGAAATGCAAGGAAAGTCAGAAAGATCACTACTAATAACAGAGCAACCATTAACAATAAGCATCTGGCAAATCCTCAGATTAAAATGATTCCCTTGATCACATTTTGCATGATTTAGAATCATTTTCAACTTGTTGCAGTGAAAAAGACTTTTACCTACCCTGTAAGAAAAGTAACAAACATAATTAATTCACCATCAGTTGTTAAATCTGAAATTTTTCCTGTTTTACATCAGCGTTTCTTTTCTTTTCCTGAATACTATTGAGAAAGATTTTTCAAAATGGAGCTTAAAAGTATTGAGTCAAATGGAGGCAGAAATGTGGGCGCTTCTCTGTGTGAAATAACGTACAAATCAGACGAGAAAGGCATCTTCATACTTCAGGCATTTGGATAAGTCAGAATCCTGCCAAGAGCACACGTAGTGAATGCTCATATGAGCAGTTTTATTTAAAAATACATGCAGATAAACTACCCAGCACGCCCAATTAGAACGTTCTATGCATGTAGATTCAATACCAGGAGGCCCCCAATAATTTACACATGAGTGCATGCTCCTTCTCTGTGTTCATGGCTTTCTTTTTGTGTGCCTGTTATGGAGCCATTTCTGTGCGCTCATGTCAACTTTCGACACTTTGAAGGTGGAATAAACCTGGGAAATTAAAATCCCTGTGATTGGCTACTTTTAAGACCGAGCTGTTTTCTTCCTAGTTACAGCTAGAAATGATTAAAAAAAACATCTTCTGGCTAATAACTGTTTTTTTAGATTAAATTCTGACTTCATATCCAACAGTCATCTCTGTCAATTCTGTAAACACGGTGCCTGGCACAAAAGGAAAACAATGTTTGACAGTATCAGCAAATCGATTCAAAATGTAAAGGGTGTGCTCCAGTATAAACAATAGGTCCATCAAGCCTAATTTTCCTCCATGTAAACAGTGAAGCTAATGTTAGCTTAGCTCATATGTTGTTCCAAACTTAACATTAATCGTTCTACAGCATATAGCTACTGCAGTCATAACATCTTTTTATATGCTTTGTGAACATTACTAGCTGCAACCGGCTGCAACTAGGACGAAAACAGTACTATCTCAAGAGGCGGGATTTCTTGAAAAGTGGCCAATCACAGGAAGTTTACTTTCTCAGGTTCATTCCAACTTCAAAGTGAAAAAGGTGAACATTAGAGCACAGATACAGGTCAACATGTGATTAAGAGAGAATCTACAGAAACATAAGATCAAGCCACAAACACAGAAAAGGGGAATGCATTTATGTGTGTGATATATTGGGGAACTTATCGTATTAAATCATGTCCGATAAAACATCCAAAATGCATGAAGAGTACTATAAGTGTGCACCTTTAGCAGAATTCTGACTTCTTAACAAAGACGCTTCAGTAGAAATTATAATAATATATATATATATATATATATATATATAT